GAAGGCATACCATCAGAAACAGCCAGATTCTAACCTTCATTTAACTCTTAAGACTTTTGGTCTTACATGTTGCTATCCTAAGCTTACTCCCTCGTCAAAGTAGGCATATCTATTAAAAACTAAATTCCATCTCAGATTTGAGAGTTGTGCTGTATTATTTATCTACAACAGTGGATAGAAATTTGTTCTGATGCTCTTAATAGTTTCATTAATTTTTTTAAGAGCAATTAACATTGCTCTTACAAATAAATTCATTATTTTTTGAATACTTATTCTGTGCTATGCTAATTTATTCAGATTCTGTACAGCCCTAGAACTTGTCATCTACTTCTTGTTGAAGCAGACTGCTTGGTAAACAGAAAATACTAATAATACAGTGTAGTAAGTCCAATGAAAGGGATCTCTTCAAGGTGGTGTAGTAATGCATATAAGAGTACTGAACCAAGTAGAGTATAGGGGAGGGGGATTTAGTCAGAGAAGATTCTATGTGGAGGTAATAGATGAGCTAAGTCATGAATGTGAAGTCTGAGTTAGCCAGCTGAAGGTGGGAAGGATGGGCCAGGATGATAGCAGCAAGCATGAAACAACATGATAGGCATGAGGAAGTACTATTGCTGAAGTGTCAAATAAGAAAGGCAGTAAAAGCTTGAATGTACGCAGGTGCTTTATGCCAACGCCAAGACCTTGGCTTTGTTCCCTCTTGTTAGAGGAGGCATAGATGGGTTTTAAGCTGAGTTTGACATAAAATGTTTGCTTTTGAAGTATTTTTGTATTAGAAGGAATAAAACTGAATGTAGGGACACAAGTAGATTAAAAGTAACTAGGTGAGAGATAATCAAGATATAAACTAGGCCCACAGCCTTGCCTGCATATCCAGCACAGGAGGGTAAATGTGAGCCCTTCAGCTTCACACCCAGCAACCCATCTCCCTCACAGTGACCCTCACTGTCACCAGCCTTGATCCCTGAGTCTCCGTCCTCGGGGTTGTATTTAATGTCATATTTTTGTTATTTTCTTTTTACTGGTAGAGAATACTGAAGAGAAATAGTAACTGATAAAACATTTCTATCTGAAATCCCTCAATTAATATTTTCATGCAGTGACTTTTTGTGCTTAATTTGGTTTTGACAGAAGAAATATCTAGTATTTTTAGTACTTTTTTTACTTAGTTCTTTATAGACCTTTTAATGAATTGTAGGCATTAGTTTTAGCTTTTTTAATATAAATTTTGAGATAAAGAGCTCATTTAGCTATTAAATTACTGGTCTTTTAAAAAAAATTGCGGAATGTAAACAAATACATACCCATGAAAGAAGAAAAGGAAGGTATATTATGAAATAAAAGGTGAAGATTCACTGGATGAAATAGTTTTTTAAGAAGTTTGAAAATTACAGTAAAACTCTTTTAAAGGAGACTTTTTCAAGAGACTCAAAGGAAGAGTTTAAGCTATAGGGCAAATTTGCTCTGATAAAAACAACGCTGAAGGGTACCATCTCTGGTTTCCTTATATTCAGGCAAGTTAAGTCAACAACTGATCACAATTTTAAAATAGAGATTTCCCAACCATACTAAGAAGTTACTCTACGTGATAAACAGAAAGATAGTCTTTGCATACCTTTCAATTCCAGATTGTTGGATTTTCTCTTAGATAGGTTTCTCTCCTAATTCTGATGTTTTTCTTACCTTCATTATCATGGTCAAATGGCAAAAGTATTAAAGATCAAATACAGAAGAGAGATTAGGGGGTTGTATTGAATCTATCAGTGAACAAGTAAATAAATAATATTTTTTTTAACTGACTTCTATTTAATCCATAGACCATTTAATAATATAGACTCTTTGGTACTTATACTTTATTTGAATTTACTTGATTTGTTTATAAATTATACATTGATAATATATAAGAAATCACTGAGCAGAGCCATGGCACACATAGGCAGTCAAATATTTATCAAATCTAAATAAAGTTCTCTAGTCAGTGATTCTCAAGAAGGGGTAATGGCTTCCTTTTCTAGGGGGGAGAAAAGGTACCCGAATTTTTGAGAAAGAAATTGTTTTCTCAAACACTACCATCTGCCAGACATTCTTGTGTGTCCCTTTCCTTGGATGGGAAAAGAGCTTAAGAGTATTAACTTTCTTCCTCCATCAACTGAGTCCTATTGAAACAGAAGAAATGTACTGAACCCCTGAAAAACGTGTTTTGTAAATCACAGTTGTAGTGCCAGTTTTAAATTTCATTCTTATGCTACAGATTAAACAAAGTAGGGCATGGAATATAACCTTGGAACTGTAGTGAAAAAAAATTTAGAGAATCCATTGGATTTCATTTGAGTAGAACTCTAGTGAGCCATATATCATAAAGATTTTTAGCGAAGGAGAATGAAATGGAATAACTACTCTAAAAAAAATTTCCTACAACTAGGTACATTGTCAACATCACTGTGGATCTTGGGCTGAATTTCTGCTTTAAATCAAAGGTATAAAAAGAAATACCCCCTTTTTCTTTCCTAGCAGCAGTATTCCAATAATTAGAGTAATAGTGAACATAAAAATGTTACTAAAGAATGAGGAAATCTGAGTATAAACTTATAAGAAATAATGTCACACATTAAGTTGTCATACACTGAAAGTATTAAAAAGACTCTTCCATAAACTACTTAGCACTTTCCTTTTCATCCTTAAAGGCTGTTCTCTCAGCGTTTCATACAAACTTTTTTTTTTTTGCCCTATGCGGGCGTCTCACTGCTGTGGCCTCTCCAGTTGCGGAGCACAGGCTCCGGACGCGCAGGCTCAGCGACCATGGCTCACGGGCCCAGCCGCTCCATGGCATGTGGGATCCTCCCGGACCGGGGCATGAACCTGTGTCCCCTGCATCGGCAGGCTGACTCTCAACCACTGCGCCACCAGGGAAGCCCCCATCCAAACTTTTGACCTGTCAATCCCAAGATCAGTTTATTTCTTGTGCCTCATTCTGCCTAATAGTTGGTTTTCCAATATACATAGTGGGTGGATAGAAAGTATAATATCTAAACCAAAAGAACGTGTGGTGGTCCTGTTCTTCCCTATACTATTAGACCAACTGCAGTATTCTAGAGACTTTGATTAAAGAAAGATACAGAGAAATTGAATGTGGTCAGAAAGAAGTGATCAGCAAGGGGAAAGAATCCAAATGAACCAAAATATAAGAGAAAAGAGTTTAAAGGTAGAAAAAGGCACATATTTATGCTCAGAAGACAGATTTAAGGTCTAGCTCTACCACTTGCACTAATGACCTTGGGTGGGTCATTTTACCTCTCTGAACTTTATTATCACTTGTACAATGGAGATATAATGCCTATCCTCACATGATTGTTGTGGAAATTGAATAAAGTAGGGTATGTGAAAATCCTGTGTGTGTAATGTATTTTGAAAATGTTAGAAATGGTAACCATGTGAGGTGATAGATATGTTAAGTAGTTTGACTGTACTTCATATTTCATAATGTATGTATATATTGAGTCAAGTTATATACCTTAAATATATATAATTTTTAATTGTCAATTATATTTCAGTAAAACGAAAAAAATGTTGGCTCCGTGAATGCAGAAGACCATATAGGCTTTAAGTACTCACTAAATTTTGTTACATGAAAAAAGAAAAGAAAATGTTAGTGTGTTAGTATTGCTTGCTAGAGGTATAAGGTTAGAGTAAACATAACATTCTTGACATATTTTTAGGGTTATCATGTGAAAGAAGACTTAGACTTACCTGGAAGGGCCCCAGAAAGCCAAACTGAGACTCATGAATAGAAGCTTCAGGGAGAAAAATCCAGCTCAGTGAAGAAATAATTTTCTGGTTTTCTGTGTTATTCAAACTTAGGATGGTTTATTTTAAGAGACGGTTATAGTCCCTATTTCTGGAGGTGTTTAGAGATATTCTTGGCTGAACATATAAAAGGGATAATATAAGCAGCATACTATGGATAGTTCAACTAGATCACATTTACGATCCCTTCCATCTCTATTATTTCATGATTATGAATACTCAAGTTTTATCTCAGTTTCCCTGAGTGTATGTTTTTTTATTATCTATATTATCAAGATTTTATAATCCAGAAACTTGCTCCTCTTTTTTCTATTTTTGGGATCTTCTGGACTACTTTCTTAACATCACTTCTCTATATTCATTTTTTCCTTTGGAAAGATTTTACTAAAGATCCCATTTATCTCTTTATCACCACCCCCTTCATCATCATCCTTTAAGTCTCCACATTTTTGTTTTAACATACATATAGAGCTGTCTGTCAATCCAAGATTACTTTTTAGAAAGAGGAGTATTTTGTAACAAGGAAGTTCAGGTTTCTACCTTCTTAACCTGTTTCTGGTAATTGAAAAGTATAAGTATAACAATATCAATTATTTCATTATTTTGAACTTTATGGTAATTCAGAAATGGGATGATCAGAATTCTTTTTCTTGAATTCTCTAGGGAAAACATATAAATAAATTAATATAATAAACATGATTGCAAGAAAAATCTTTAACTTGTTTCATAGTAAATACTTTAGTTACTTTAGAATCATCTCCTGAAGAAGACACAAATGTATAAATTAGAAATTGCATTTCTTCATAAAAAGATAATGACTTTTTTAGACTAGTTCAAGTTCATATTTCTTTGAAAATAATACTGTCTTTTCACCATTTACGTTGGTTTCCTGTACCATTTCTGATTTATGTTTTATGTCGTGTAGTTTTTATGTAACATAAATTCACAATCTTTTTATGTTCATAAGATCATAGAAATAACCTAAAATCTTTGTATCTTCTATAGATTTTATATTTGTGTTTCGTTACTTGTGTGAAAACACATACGCCATCTTGCTTATTTTCATTTATCAGCAGAACCAACTTGCTTAAAACACTATAGCTAGCTTCAGAGTAACTTTTGCTTTCTGCTATCTTGCTCTCTTTTGTAAACTTATTTGTACCCCAGCTAATTTTTTTTTTTTTTTCCTTTGAAAGCCTTGCAGTGAGAGAATTTCTTTGTCTGGATGATCCACCAGGTCCATTTGATAGCCTAGAAGAAAGCAGGGTAAGTGCTGTATTATATATCACATGAAAAGAGGAACAAATAATACCGTACAATAACTACATTGTTTCTTGAATGGAACAGCAAACAGCAAAGTTATAATTTCGGACCATGGTAGTTTTGCACAGAAAGCTTTTAATGTTTGAGTCAAAGCTTTCTTTCATTGAAATACATGAACATAATTCAGTGAAAAAATAAAAATTCGTACATGTCCTATAGTCTATGAAGCCCTAAAATTAAATTCTACCTTTATTCTCTTTGTTTATACCGTTTCAGAAAAAAGAAGATTACTTGGAAATTTATTTTACATTTAAAAGTAACATTTGCATGCTGAGTTTTCTTCCATCTAAGTATCAAAGTAAGGAACCTACAGTTAAAACCAAATTAAAAAACTAATCTTCAGAAGTAGAAGTTATTGTCTTGTTATCAATTCAGCTCAAGCTTAAGGCTACTCAAATTACGCTACTTGACGTGTTAAAGTAGCCTACTTCTTGAAGCAATTGGCTAGATTCACAGACAGATTTGGTAATAATAGATTAGCTAGGATTTATGCAAGTTTTTCTTCCAAATGTTTAATAGTGTTTAAATGGAACAGATTTAATTGGTAGATTTGTAATGTTTTCAGTTAAACTGAGTCAGTTCTTTGTGTTAGAGGAATGCCATAGCTTTTTTTTAAACAGCTTTATTGAAGTAAAACTTTTCATCCATAAAATTTGCTATTTGCTATTCCATTGTAAATGTACAATTTAATAACTTTTTAGTAAATTTGTAGAGTTGTGTCACCATTACCATAATCCAGTTTTAGAAAATTCCATCACCTCAAAAAAAATTCTACAAGCCATTTTGCAGCCATTCCACACTGCCAGCCCCAGACAACTACTGATCTGCTCTCAGTCTCTGCAAATGTGTCTTTTCTGGATATTTCATATAAATAGAATCATACTGTGTGTGTGTATATATATATGTGCATATAAGTGTATATGTGTGCCTATATATATATAATCTCATATATACAATATGCATAATATTGTATATGCATAATATATACAATATGCAATAGTATACAGTATATATAATCTTTGCATCTAGTTTCGTTCACTTAACATATTTTTGAGCATCATCCATGTTATAGTCTCTCTCAGTATTTCATTACTTTTATTATTGAATGGTTTTCTGTTGTGTACATATACCACATTTTGTTTATCCAGTCACCAGCTGAGGGATATTTGGATTGTTTCCAGTTTTGTGTTATTATGAATAATGCTGCTATGAACAATTTCAGAGAAGGCTTTTTGTGGACATATGTTTTCATCTCTCTTGGGTTGATCCCTAAGAGTAGAATGTTTAGTTATATGGTAAATTATGTTTAACTTTTTTAAGAGACTTACAAAGAGTTTTCCCAAGTGGCTATGCCATTTTACATTCCCACGAGTAGTGTATGAGAGTTCCAGTTTCTCCATGTCCTCACAAACATTTGATATTATCTGTCTGTTGGATTATGGCCATTCTTGTAGGTGTGAAATGGTATTTCATTATAGTTTTAATTTGTATATCTGTAATGATTTTTATGTTAATTGCTTTTTCATGTGCTTTTTTGCCATTTGTATGTTTTCTTTGATGAATTGTCTATTTGAGCCTTTGGCTTATTTTTTTAGTTGGGTTGTTTGTCTTATTGATTTGTAAGAATTCATTATTTTGTATACAGGTCCATTATCAAATATATGATTTGCAAATATTTTCTCATAGTCTGTATGTGTCTTTTTATCTTCTTAATGGTATCTTTTGAAGTGCTAATGTTTTTAATTATAATGAAGGTCATTTTATCACATCCTTTATGGCTTATGCTTTTGGTATTGTATCATAAGAACTCTTTGCCTAACACAGGGCCACCAGGATTTTCTCCTATTTTTTTTTCTAGAAGTTTTATAGTTTTAACTCTTACATCCATACTGAGCTAATTTTGTATATGGCGTGAAGTGAGGACCTTAAGTTTCTCTAGATATTAAAATGTGTCAGTACCCTGTGTTGAATTGTATTGGCACCTTTATCAAAAGTCAAATGAACATGAAAGGAAGGGTTTGCTTCTGCAGTCTTTCTCTTTCACTGATCGTATTACCTAGCCTTATGCCAATACTGCACAGTAGAAATGAGTATAGAGAGTAGATGAGTATAGCGAGATGTTGATGAGGCAGTGGGAGAGGAGGAGAAGGGGAAAGTGGAAAAGACTGGGTTACCTGGGGCATAGAAAGTAGCGAAATGCAGTGATCTAAGATGTTTGCCTGGTGGCTTTGATGATGAGGTGGTAGTGCAGATGTACTGTTGGGAGTGCATTTTGACTTACCATTGGTACATACAATTGAAGGGGACCAATAGGCATATGAATGATATCTGTGTACTCAGGAAAGGTCTGGGCTGGAGATGAACAGAAAAAAAAATTGGAAGTTGATAGCTAATAGTATAGGTTATAGTTGAAGTGATAACAGCAATTGCCCAAGGATGAAATATAGAGCAAGAGAATATATAATCAAGGACAAAACTCTGATGAATGCCCACATGCAAAGAACAAGTAGAAATCTAAGAAGTAACTATAAAATTAGGGGAACCAGGAAGTTTCACAGAGCACAATAAAAGAGGATTCCATTAATTTCTTTTTTTTTTTTTTTTTTACTTTTTAAGTCAGTAGTGACATGCTATGAAGTTGAGAAAAACAGTACTTTGGATTTGACAGTTAGAAGTCATTGTTAGCATTTGCCCTGGGTATAATTCGTAGAGAAAAGAGAGTAAAACTCCTAATGATTTTAGCTATGAATGGGGAAGCTAGCTTTGGATGATAAAAACGTTTTTCCTGGAAATCTTTTTTATTTTGAAAAGAACAAGATGAGTTAGTAGCTAGAGAGACTCATATCAAGGGACCAGTGGATATGACTTTGTTTTTATGTGGAGAGATTTTTAGGGTTTGCTTAATCAACTTCAGTAAACTTGATTAAATAAATCTCAGGGCCAAAAGAGAGGGAAAGGTTGAAAATTTAAGAGAGAGTGTATGGGATAGGGCAGGCTTCCAAAGGAGATTGGGCTTATCTTGAAGAGGCACATATTCTTGAGGACAAGAACAGAATGCAAATGTAGTTAGGATTCTGGGAGAGTAACTATTTTTTTCTGGTATAGGAATAAAGATCATCTGCTGGGCTTGGGCTCACCAGTAGTAACATATTGTAGGGGATTTGCCAGGGGTGAAGATTTAACGTAGTCACAAAGGAGACAGGGAATGATAGATAACTAGGAACAATTAAAAGAATTGGCCAGCAACACTGAAAGCCTCATCAAGGTAAGTGACCCCGATTTTTTTCATGGCAGTATGATTTTGTTTTTTGTTTTAATCTATTTCAATAGTGTTTAGCTTCCTGGGTGTAAAGGATAGAATGTCTTTGAGTGAATATAGTAAAAGGAGAAGCAAGGGAAAATAATATTGAAGGCACTATGAAGGAAATCGTTATTATAGGATGTGTCTTCTGAGCTAATATAAATGGAATCAATAGCCACAGTTTTCTTTTTTTTTCTTTTTTTTTTTCTTTAAAGTATAATCATCTAGGACTGGGCAACAACAGGCTAAGGAGAATAGAAGCTAAAACAGTGATTATTAGTAATTTTTTTCCCAGTTATACACTAGAGAGATATCACATATTCATTTCAGGAACCCTAGCTTACTACTTAATAATTCTCAAGAAAAGGGACTTGTATTTATTTATAAGTTCCCCAGTACTTATTTATAAGTTCCCCAGTAGGTACTAAGGTAGCAGAGACCTAAAAAGATGAGGGTAGAGAACAAATCATCTGGGTTGTATACACATTATTTTGGTTACCTATGTTCTTTGACTCTTCAGTTATGCCCTTGAGAAAGGTACTGCATAAGTAATTAATGTTGTTCTCTTTCTGCATGTGTTTTGTATTTGCTGTTTGTTTGTTTTTAAGGCTTTCTGTGAAACTTTAGAAGAGACAAACTACCGTTTTCAAAAAGAACTACTTGAAAAACAAAAAGAGTTGGAATCACTGAAGAAACTGCTCTGTGAGAAGCAACTTCTTATAGACACTCTAGAAAACAGAATCAGGTGTGTTGTGATGCTTGCATTGTCAGTCTAATTCTGCTCGATACTCTGGCCTAAATGCCCTTTGTACGTTACAATTTAGGAAATTTCTGACTCCAAAAGTCTTAGACTCATGGTGTACATCCTTGTAGATTGGGAAAATTGTCTGTTGTTTGATTATTTATTTAGAAGCCTGAAAATTTGAAGGATGGGAAATATCAGGAAAATAAAGCTCTAGCTGTTCACCAAGACAAACATTATTTTAACCTATTTAAATAGTGTCTTTGTTTCTAGGCATTTATGCCAACTTTTCACATATGAAAGTTCTAGTTTGCCTTCTTGTCAGCATATATCGAATTGATGTTAAAATCATTTTAAATTAATCATAAGTACTGATTTCACTGTTGACACCCAGAGTCAGCAGTTTATTAGGTATATGACTACCCTTAGAACAGCTGAAGGCTACTAAAGCTACATGCATTCAGAACAATAAATATATACCTATTTTATTCATAGAAAATAACTTGTTGCTCTACTTTACCTTTAGGAACTTATGTTTGGAGCCTGAAGAATCACTGCTCGTGTCAGGAACGGAAGGTAGACAGATCCTAAAGGTGGAGTCCTCTGCACTTGAGGTTGATCAAGATGTCTTAGATGAAGAATCTAGGTATATACTGTTTGGTTTATTATAGCCTAATCATCTGAATAATTGGAGAGAAAGAGTCATAATACTCTGTAGAGTATGTTTTTATGAACTCAGGGTTATTATATCATGAATCTGATGAGCAAACAGAGGAAGACTATAGATATTCTAGGCTGTCCATGAAAATGAATCTTTGTCATCCAGCCTATAAATTTCATTACTTATTTTGAAGATATGTCTGAATTAACTGGGCTGTGACTCAGTTAATTCATTAATTTTGTAACCTTGACAAATTATTTTAATCTCTCTCAATGTCAGTCTTTTCCATGCAAAAAGTGGGACACTGTAATAGCAACCACCCTGTCTACCTAATAGGAATGATGGAAAGATGGTATATTTGAACACACATACACATAGAATTTTTATTACATATAAATCCAAGGTCACCGTTAATACATTAGTGATAGTGGTTAAGCTATAATTATGAGAACAAATTTTCTGTTGGTTAAAGGTCATTACAAACTAGATTTTTATTGAAAAGTGGTAGTTCAGAGAGCTGAAAGAGTTAAAAATATAAACTAGATTTTTATTGAAAAGTGGTAGTTCAGAGAGCTGAAAGAGTTAAAAATATATCTCCAAAGGTGTTATCTGGCAATGACAACTTTAAAATATTAAATTTCTGATTGAATATTTAAATGTTCTTTTTCATTAAATATTTTTCCATTAAATATTTAAATATTCTTGACATGACTTAAAAAAATTTTAAGGTAATAGTGAAGTGAAATAGCATGCATCCAGTCTCTTCATTGTGTTTCTCTTTTTTTTGCAGAGCTGATAATAAGCAATGCTCAAGTTTTAGTGAACCTGAAAATTCTACATCAGACATAGAAGTAGCAGAAGTGGCATATAATGCGGAAGACGACTAATGTATCTCAAGTGGTTCCTTCCATTTTTACGTTCCTGCAGATTTAGAATAGAGTAGCAGATATTTAAAAAGAAAAAAAAGAGACTGAAGCATTTACAGGAAACAGCAAGATTGCACATGTATAAAGTTTACATAAAGAAAAATTTAAGTTATTGGTATAGGAAATATATTCACTGTTGCTTTACATTGTTTTTTAGCCAAACTTTGTATTTAACACACTAAAAAAAAATCTGGAGTTCTGTCATCAAGGCCCACATCCTTAAATACTGTGCATAAATTATTTTGTTGTTTTGCCAATATATTGCTCCAGACTCACGTGGGTGTGCACACTTTGTGTGTGTGTGTGTTTAAATCACCAGTTACATTAGTTAAGTGGACATAAATTGCATGTTGCTGTCTGTTGGTTATATACTTCCTTGTGTCTCAGACATGATATATTTTCATTAATGGTTTAAATAAGTGGTAGAGTTGAATTGTTTTAAATGTTGACATGTTTATCATCTCTAAATAAAAGTTGCTTATTTGGAATGTTCCTATTTAAAAGAAGAAAACTTTCTAGTACCAAAGGAAAACTCTGAAAGAGCTGTAATAACATAGCTAAAGTGATAAAATAGCCTTGATTTTAAAAGCAAATTCACTAATACCAAAATACTATAATAAATGTTGTACCAGTGTATTATATGTTATACTTGTATATTTCCCACATAATCTTTATCTTAAATCTCTACGTATAGAATCAGTGGGTTTGCCTTTGTCAGAACACTACCTCTTTTTGCTAATCAAGGCATACTCTTTTGAAAATATAGATTGTAAGCAAATAGGCAGTTATACAAAAAAATAAAAGAGAAAAAGCCATATATCCTGCAAAGTTCCTATGTCAACTCCTGGCATTGCATTTTTATTTCTGTATATGTGAATATGTTGCTATAATGTATTGATGCTGATTTTCTTCTTAATATATTTAGCCAAGTGATGCACTTTATGACAATTAAACTCTTTTGTGCCAAGTTTAATTGGTGAATTTCTTTAGTAAGTGGAGTTAGGAAAAAGAATTATGTAGTGCCTTCACTATTTCACTCTTTACAGAAGTCTCCTAGAGTCTTTAAGTCCGCGTTATGAAAAAAATGTTTATCTCAGCTTTGCATATAGTTGTTGAAAGTGCCTTGTTTCATTTTTATAGTATGAAGTTATTTATTTTATATTTCTATTGTTTTGCATATTGCTGTTAATAAGCACTGTAATCATGCTGGCATTTTGAAATCCCAGTTGGTATATTGAACTGCGTATGCTTTCTAAAAACTGAAGGAAACTTATTGGGGAAAGAATAACAGTGTCCGTTTTTTTCTTTCACTAGCTAAAAGCTTATCAGTATCTTGATGTACATATTAAGATATGGTTGTTTAAAATTCTACGGACGTAGATTAATAGATACAGTGGCTGTTGTCAACCTTTGATCTAAAAAGGAGACTGCTTTTTACCAAAGTACCAAAATTTTTTAAAGTCTTCATCAAAATGGACAGGTATGCTCTATCTCAATATTTTCCACAAACTGTATTAGAAATGTGTGTGCTGTCCGGGGAGACAGAAAGAGTATAATAAAATGGTCTACTTGTTCATTTCAAAATATTTTTCTAGGCTTTAAAAAGGTTTAAAAAGAACAACCATTTAAATTAATCAATATCATTTTTAGTCTAATAAAACAAAATGATAAATTCCAGATATTATAGTGCTACATACATGTCTGTCTTAAAGTGAACCATACACTTTCAAAATCTGGCCTTTCAGAAGATTGTATTTAAAACTTTGAATGGGTGAAGAAAAACTCTTGTTAATTAGGAAAACCACTGTTGTTTATACTTAGAATTTACTTTTATAATGCATCTTATTCCCAGTATTATACTCATTTAATAAATTATTTTTTCAGTACAACAGTAGCTGTGTTGTTCAGATCTTGAATACTATTTTTCTCCTCCAGTTTCTATGTTCTTTCTATCCCTTACCGTTATTGTAAATTTAATTACAGTTAACTGCTGCATTTCACAGATGTGGAATGAGTCTGTGATTTTCTTTTTAAGTTTACACTTTATATTACTGATCATTTTAAGTCTTTGTAAATAGGTGCAGTGCACTTCAAATGTAACCAGTATTGATTAAAAATTTGAACGTAACTGAAACAATTTTGTAGATAATCTTTTAACTTAACCTTTTGAAAATGAAGTCCATGTATAAGAAGTACAACCATAAAATTCAGCATTTTAGCATGTGTTCTATCTACTAAGATTAGCCATTTAAAGCACATTTATTTAGAAAACCATGGTCCTCAGATAAGTCATGTAGTCTGCTTCACTTGTCTGTGAGATTAGCAGGGAACAGTGGCCTTAGGTCTAAGAATAATTAGTCTGGTTTTGAAATGGATTTGTATTACTTATAGGAATAGAGGAAGTTTTAGATGTTGTTAAAACAAGTTTGTATTCCCAACTAGAAAGAGAAAGGAATCTAAGTTCTATATTCTGGGAGATTTTCAAAGAGCTACATATTTGATCCACATTTTGATTCTTCATAGAATTAGCTTTACTCCGTTGCAATTTGCTTCTATGCTGTTGGCTTCTACTAGCAAAAACAATCATCAAAACTTGTATTTTCAATACACGTGTTTTTAAAGCTGATGCATTCTCTATCACATTGTGTACCATTTATGAGAACTCATGGGAGAAAATTCTCGTAGGTCTCAATTCCAGTAAAACCTGTGCGTCCCCTAAACAATTGATTTGTTTTTATCTTAAAGACTGTACCACTGTCATTCTTTTTTTTGTTTTGTTTTCTGGGGAGCTCTAAGCCAGATTGTGGTTCACCTGTAGCTACTGTATAGAACCTTATGAGTTATCCTTTTGTATAGTAAAGATGACTTTATTTTTCCCTCTTATTTTCTTTTAACTCCAATTTTCTTCCCTAGTTAAGTTCTTCAATTAGAACAGATGTATTTTTGTTCTGGTAAAGTCTCAGATTTTAATGATATTTTAGACTACATTAGGTAAGAACTTGTCATAGCCTGTACTAAAACAATTACTGCATCATTAAGTGATGCCAGTAATTATACAAATTATTTTAAAAGATGCCTTTAAGTAAAATCAGTGAACATGAATGCAAATTTAGAAATGCTGGCTAGTGGTAAGCTATTGGTAGGTTCTCGGCCAGAACACAATAAACTCAAATTATGGCTTTAACCATTGCCTCAAATTAGAGCAAACCCTACTTGCCACTTTCTTATATTTATCATTGATGGAAAAGTAGAACAGAGTTAATATCTCCACACAAAGCAAACAACAACAACAACAACAAAAATACAGCCAATGTATACTCAATAGATGAAAGGTAGTGTTTTAGATACAGGGAAGATTAGGTACAGACTTCAAATACCCTAGTGTAATGTTTGCAGCCCAGCTAATTGTAATCAAAGAGGTATTAGTGTTAGTCAGATGGTGGCTAAAGTCCTTTGCTATAGTGTGAAATATAAAGCCCACCTTGTGATGATTAATCTCATGACCGGAGGACTCTTCTAGAATGAGCTGATCTGCCAGTCCAGTCTTCCAGTTCCCTCTATAGCACACACCATTCATTGACTAACCTGACAGATGCTTGCATTCCTCATCTCCTTTGCCACCTCCAAAATAAGAATTGGAGAAATTTAATACTTGTTTTCTCAGCTCCCCTTGCAGCTAGGTTTGAGCCTGTGACACATTATGGCCAGTAACACAAGTGGAAGTCTGCTGGTAGCTTCTGGGAAATCTCTTGCTTTTCCTGTAAGAAGGTAAACATTGCTACTGACCCATCCTCTCCCCCCTTCCTCTTGTTTTGACCTCAGATGGTATCCAGAGGTACTATGAAAGCCATCTTGCAAACATGAGGTGTGACAAGCATGGAGGAAGAGTAAGAAAATCACAGAGACTAGCCACTTGTTAAACCACTCTAAATTATAGGTTTTTGTTAATTGTACCAAGATAAAAGCTATCTTAAATTTGGATTGTGGATTGTAAGCTTAAAGAGAAAATAAAAGGCCTTTCTTCCTGTGATGATGTTGTATATTAGCAAAGAAAAAAAAAGGAGAAAAAACAATTTTTGAAAGCTAAAGGGGAGAGAAGCATCTATTAGACATATCCAAGGTCACATTACATTTGAGGCTCCTTTTGACAAATTAAATATGAAAGAGAAAATCTAGTATTCTACATACAGGTATTAGTCTGGTCGGGCTACTATAATACCACAAACAATAAATTTACTCTCTCACAGTACTGGAGGCTGGGTGTGAAGATCAAGGTGCCAGCAGGGTTGGTATCTGCTGAAGACTCTCCCTGGTTGCAGACAGCTTCTCGCTGTGTGCTCATGTGGCCCTTCAACAGTGCACGTGCGTGTGGAGAGCAAGCTCTCTGATATCTCTCGTAAGGACAGTAGTCCCATTGGATCAGGGCCCCACCCTTGTGACCTCATTTAACCTTAATTACTCTCTTAGAGGCTCCATTTCCATATACAGCCACACTCGGGAGTTAGGGCTTCAACGTAGGAATTTGGGGGGGGGGGGGACACGAGCATTCAGTCCATAACAGTATGGAATGAATATGACATCATTAAATGCTTGCAAAGATTTTTCTCAGTTCAAAAGATAAAAGTAGATAGCCTTAAAAAATATAGCATATTCTTTCATTTGTTCATTCAACAAACACTGAGTATCTACCGTGTGTCTGCTCTGGGTTATGAAAATTATTGAGAGGCACATGATCCCTTCAAGGAGTTCAGAGTGATATGATTTTTTATGATCTCTATGTGGTGTGGCATTGAGGTAGATGTAATATTCTTGATGAATTATGGGAATGAGAGGACTGGAAAGGGGGGCAAAGACTGGCAAGCAGTAGAAGTCTAGTGCTTTAGCTGCTTCTTAAAGTGGAATGTGAAGGGCACACCAAGCCGAAGAGTCTGCTCCAGCCTGTGCAAGTGGCAAGTATAATTATCCATAATTCTTTTTCCCTTATCCCGTACATTACTTATAGCTACAAAATGCAGAAGTCCACTTACCTGATGTGATAGATCAGAGACACATACTATGATACACACCTTAAACATATCATTTTAACTTAATGCACATAAGTGTATATTCATTTACCAATGTTCTTATAGAGGTTCAAGGCTTTTCTTTGGTATAGTTTCAGTAGTGAGAGTTTCTGATTCTCTCTCTTGCTAAGCCATACCCCTAATGCATTTTCTGAATCTTAGCTTTGGTTTCTGCAGAATGAAGACATGTATGAAGGAATCTGCAACAGGAATCACATTTCTTACTGTTTTCTTTTTCAATCCTGTACTGCTATCTTACATACACTTTTACCAAGTATCATCTGACCTAATTTTTCCTAGAAATGATAATTTATTCTCCTATTTCACTGTTTTATATACTATTAATAAATGTATTTAAAATTAATCTAAGTACAGCTGATACAAGTTTGGAAACAAAACTGATGCTTGGTAATCACACAGCCCTCTTAG